CACACACAGAGACACACACAGAGGCACACAGACACACACACAGATACTCACAAAGAGACACACACAGAGACAAAAAACAAAGATCCCCCATATAGCCTTAACAGACTGTAGGGGCAAGTGCTGTTAGCGAGCACCTATGAAGGCCGGAACGGTACACGAGGGGGTGGGTGGCCAGCACCACGCCCGACCGCCTTTGTCTCCCGAGTGGCAATGTTTACACACCGCACCAGGTACTCATTTGAGGCTGAGTCGACCTAGGGGAGGCCCGGGACCGGTTCAGATAATCGTCACTGGTGTTGGCCGTGAGCGGGAATCGAACCCGTGTCGCCAGGTTCATAGCGCAGCGCGCTAACCGCTACACTATCGCTCCCCACACACAGATACAGAGACACACACAGACACACACACAGAGACACACACAGAGACACACAGCGACTCAGAGACTCACACAGAGACTCACACAGAGACTCACACAGAGACTCACAAAGAGACACAGACTCGCACAGAGACACACAGAGACTCACACAGAGACACACACAGAGACACACACAGACACACACACAGAGACACAGAGACTCACACGGAGACTCACACAGAGACTCAGAGACTCACACAGAGACACACACAGAGACACAGAGACTCACACAGAGACACACACAGAGACTCACAGAGACACACACAGAGACTCAGACTCACACAGAGACACAGAGACTCACACAGAGACACACACAGAGACTCACACAGAGACAGACACACACACAGAGACAGACACAGAGACTCACACAGAGACTCACACAGAGACACACAGAGACTCACACAGAGACACAGACACACACACAGACACACACACAGAGACACACACAGAGACTCACACAGAGACTCACACAGACTCAGAGACTCACACAGAGACACACACAGAGACACAGAGACTCACACAGAGACTCACACAGAGACTCACACAGAGACACACACAGAGACTCAGACTCACACAGAGACACAGAGACTCACACAGAGACACACACAGAGACTCACACAGAGACACACACAGAGACACAGACACACACAGAGACACAGAGACTCACACAGAGACACACACAGAGACTCAGACTCACACAGAGACACAGACTCACACAGAGACTCAGACTCACACAGAGACACAGAGACTCACACAGAGACTCACACAGAGGCACAGACACACACAGAGACACACACAGAGACACAGAGACTCACACAGAGACACACACAGAGACACAGACACACACAGAGACACACACAGAGACACAGACTCACACAGACACACACACAGAGACACACACAGAGACACACAGCGACTCAGAGACTCACACAGAGACTCACACAGAGACTCACAAAGAGACACAGACTCGCACAGAGACACACAGAGACTCACACAGAGACACACACAGAGACACACACAGACACACACACAGAGACACAGAGACTCACACGGAGACTCACACAGAGACTCAGAGACTCACACAGAGACACACACAGAGACTCAGACTCACACAAAGACTCACACAGAGACACACACAGACACACACACAGAGACAGACACAGAGACTCACAGAGACTCACACAGAGACACACAGAGACTCACACAGAGACTCACACAGAGACACAGACACACACACAGACACACACACAGAGACTCACACAGAGACTCACACAGAGACACACACAGAGACACAGAGACTCACACAGAGACTCACACAGAGACTCACACAGAGACACACACAGAGACTCAGACTCACACAGAGACACAGAGACTCACACAGAGACACACACAGAGACTCACACAGAGACACACACAGAGACACACACAGAGACACAGACATACACAGAGACACAGAGACTCACACAGAGACACAGAGACTCAGACTCACACAGAGACACAGAGACTCACACAGAGACTCAGACTCACACAGAGACACAGAGACTCACACAGAGACTCACACAGAAACACAGACACACACAGAGACACACACAGAGACACAGAGACTCACACAGAGACACACACAGAGACACAGACACACACAGAGACACACACAGAGACACACACAGAGACACAGACTCACACAGACACACACACAGAGACACACACAGAGACACACAGCGACTCAGAGACTCACACAGAGACTCACAAAGAGACACAGACTCGCACAGAGACACACAGAGACTCACACAGAGACACACACAGAGACACACAGACACACACACAGAGACACAGAGACTCACACGGAGACTCACACAGAGACTCACACAGACACACAGAGACTCACACAGAGACACAGACACACACACAGAGACTCACACAGAGACTCACACAGAGATTCAGAGACTCACACAGAGACACACACAGAGACACAGAGACTAACACAGAGACTCACACAGAGACACACACAGAGACTCAGACTCACACAGAGACACAGAGACTCACACAGAGACACACACAGAGACTCACACAGAGACACAGAGACTCACACAGAGACACACACAGAGACACAGACACACACAGAGACACAGAGACTCACACAGAGACACACAGAGACTCAGACTCACACAGAGACACAGAGACTCACACAGAGACTCAGACTCACACAGAGACACAGAGACTCACACAGAGACTCACACAGAAACACAGACACACACAGAGACACACACAGAGACACAGAGACTCACACAGAGACACACACAGAGACACAGAGACACAGACACACACAGAGACACACACAGAGACACACACAGAGACACAGACTCACACAGACACACACACAGAGACACACACAGAGACACACAGCGACTCAGAGACTCACACAGAGACTCACAAAGAGACACAGACTCGCACAGAGACACACAGAGACTCACACAGAGACACACACAGAGACACACAGACACACACACAGAGACACAGAGACTCACACGGAGACTCACACAGAGACTCACACAGACACACAGAGACTCACACAGAGACACAGACACACACACAGAGACTCACACAGAGACTCACACAGAGATTCAGAGACTCACACAGAGACACACACAGAGACACAGAGACTAACACAGAGACTCACACAGAGACACACACAGAGACACAGACACACACAGAGACACAGAGACTCACACAGAGACACACACAGAGACACAGACACACACAGAGACACAGAGACTCACACAGAGACACACAGAGACTCAGACTCACACAGAGACACAGAGACTCACACAGAGACTCAGACTCACACAGAGACACAGAGACTCACACAGAGACTCACACAGAAACACAGACACACACAGAGACACACACAGAGACACAGAGACTCACACAGAGACACACACAGAGACACAGACACACACAGAGACACACACAGAGACACACACAGAGACACAGACTCACACAGACACACACACAGAGACACACACAGAGACACACAGCGACTCAGAGACTCACACAGAGACTCACAAAGAGACACAGACTCGCACAGAGACACACAGAGACTCACACAGAGACACACACAGAGACACACACAGAGACACACAGACACACACACAGAGACACAGAGACTCACACGGAGACTCACACAGAGACTCACACAGACACACAGAGACTCACACAGAGACACAGACACACACACAGAGACTCACACAGAGACTCACACAGAGATTCAGAGACTCACACAGAGACACACACAGAGACACAGAGACTAACACAGAGACTCACACAGAGACACACACAGAGACTCAGACTCACACAGAGACACAGAGACTCACACAGAGACACACACAGAGACTCACACAGAGACACACACAGAGACACAGACACACACAGAGACACAGAGACTCACACAGAGACACACACAGAGACTCACACAGAGACACAGAGACTCACACAGAGACACAGAGACACACACAGAGACACAGAGACTCACACAGAGACACACACAGAGACTCAGACTCACACAGAGACACAGAGACTCACACAGAGACACACACAGAGACTCAGACTCACACAGAGACACAGAGACTCACACAGAGACTCACACAGAGACACAGACACACACAGAGACACAGAGACTCACACAGAGACTCACACAGAGACACAGACACACACAGAGACACAGAGACTCACACAGAGACACACACAGAGACACAGACACACACAGAGACTCAGACTCACACAGAGACACAGAGACACACACAGAGACTCACACAGAGACACAGAGACACACACAGAGACACAGACACACACAGACACACACAGACACACAGAGACTCACACAGAGACTCAGACTCACACAGAGACACACACAGAGACACACACAGAGACACACACAGAGACACACACAGAGACACAGAGACTCACACAGAGACACACACAGAGACTCACACAGAGACACAGACACACACAGAGACACAGAGACTCACACAGAGACACACACAGAGACTCACACAGAGACACAGACACACACAGAGACACAGAGACACACACAGAGACTCACACAGAGACACAGACACACACAGAGACACAGAGACACACACAGAGACACAGAGAGACAAGCAGCAGCCAGCATCATCACCACGTACAGTGCGTGCAGTACGCACAGAGCGTACTGCACGCACTGTACGTGCAATAACAGTGCATACAGTACACAGTGAATACAGTACAAACTGTACGCGCCGCGTGTACAGTGCGCGCGGCGCGTAGTGCGCGCGGCGCGTACAGTGCGCGCGGCGCGTACAGTGCGCGCGGCGCGTACAGTGCGCGCGCCGCGTACAGTGCGCACGGCGCGTACAGTACGCACGGCGCGTACAGTACGCACGGCGCGTACAGTACGCACGGCGCGTACAGTACGCACGGCGCGTACAGTACGCACGGCGCGTACAGTACGCACGCGTGGTGCACTGTACGCTCGCGCGCCTACAGTAGGCTCACAAACCCCGCACGCACACACGACGTTTCGATCCCGAACCCCCCCATTCCTCACCGTCTCGTCACGGGCTCCTTCCACACGCGGCCCGACTTTGGTCTCCCCCGGGGCAGTGCGGGGCGGGTGGCTCGAGGGGCAGCGGCGCCCTTCACAGGGGCTGCCACTCCTTCCTCCTCCCACCTCTTCCTCCTCTTGTTCTTCTTGTTACCACCACTCCTCGCTGCCCCTCCGGTCGCCTCCGCAACCATTGCGCATGGCCCCGTGCCCTCAGGCCCTGCCCCCGTGCCCTCAGGCCCTGCCCCCGTGCCCTCAGGCCCTGCCCCCGTGCCCTCAGGCCCTGCCCCCGTGCCCTCAGGCCCTGCCCCCGTGCCCCCAGGCGCTGCCCCCGTGCCCCCAGGCGCTGCCCCCGTGCCCTCAGGCCCTGCCCCCGTGCCCTCAGGCGCTGCCCCCGTGCCCTCAGGCCCTGCCCCCGTGCCCTCAGGCCCTGCCCCCGTGCCCTCAGGCCCTGCCCCCGTGCCCTCAGGCCCTGCCCCCGTGCCCTCAGGCGCTGCCCCCGTGCCCTCAGGCCCTGCCCCCGTGCCCTCAGGCGATGCCCCCGTGCCCTCAGGCGCTGCCCCCTCCACTGCCGTCTTCACCGCTGCTGCCCCTACAGCTGCCCCGCCAATCGCGGTCGCCGCTTCATCCTCCCCAGAGGCTGCCCCAGCGGCTGCCCCAGCGAGACCTCCTCCCCGTCTCGCGCTGCAGCCTGTCCTCCTCTTCGCCGGCATCGCGCTCGTGTGTGTGGTGTGGTGTGTGTGGTGTGTGTGTGTTGTGGTGTGTGTGTGTGGTGTGTGTGTGGTGTGTGTTTGGTGTGTGTGTGTGGTGTGTGTGTGGTGATGTGTGTGGTGTGTGTGTGGTGGTGTGTGTGGTGTGTGTGGTGGTCGTGTGTGGTGTGTGTGTGATGTGTGGTGAGTGTAGCGGTTAGCGTGATGAGTGGTGTGTGCGGTGTAGTGATCGGCACGAGGAGCAAAACCACAAAAATATAAAAACACCACCACGCGCGCAGACGACAGCGAGGCGACGTTCAGGGCGAGGGGCGACGTTCAGGGCGAGGGGCGACGTTCAGGGCGAGGGGCGACGTTCAGGGCGAGGGGCGACGTTCAGGGCGAGGGGCGACGTTCAGGGCGAGGGGCGACGTTCAGGGCGAGGGGCGACGTTCAGGGCGAGGGGCGACGTTCAGGGCGAGGGGGCTTCAAGAGGAGCGAGACGCTGCGGCGGCGATTCGGCGCACGTGTCTCGTGGGCGGCGCCATTGCTGGATGGTCACTTCCGGTGTGGGAGGGGGAAAGTTTGGAGGCGGAAGTGACGTTGGAGGTGAGAGGGGAGGGGTTTTTTTTGGCGCCAAACAACAACGACGAATCGATTCCGCGATTTAATTTGCAGGGGAGTGCGGTGGGAAAGTGGAATCGCGATGACGTCATCGCGATTTTTGCGCCGCAAACGTAACCTGCGCGGTGACGTCATCACGCTTTTCTCACCCGCCCTCCACGCTATTTAACGCGGCGACGTCATCACGCACGCCACTCTCGCCCTCCACGCTATTTAACGCGGCGACGTCATTACGCACGCCTTACGTCATCAGGCACGTACTCTCACGCCCACCACGCGATTTAACGCGTCGACGTCATCACGCACGCCTCTCTAACGCTCCATAACGCGACGACGTCATCACGCACGCCTGCCTCTCCCACCCTCCACGCGATTTAACGCGACGACGTCATCACGCACGCCTCTCTAACGCTCTATAACGCGGCGACGTCATCACGCACGCCACTCTCTCCACGTTGATTTTAAACGCGCGACAATGACGTCACCACGCCGGAACCCCCGCCCCCCTTCCCCCCCCTATCGGCGTGACGTCACTTCCCCTCTTCTCCACACACACCACCCCCCCCCCACATCTCTCCTATCCGCCTCAGGATCTCCGTTGAATCTTTGACTTCTCTCTCCTCTCGTTCCTCTCTCTCCTCTCTCTCTCTCTCCTCCCCCTCTTCTTGGTGAGGCGCCTTAGCGGTGGTGAGGAGCGAGCGAGCGGGCGGGCGGGCGGGGCGTGCGGAGCGTCTTGAATCGTTACAGCAAGCGAGTTTTCAAGGGGGGCGGGGGGGTGGAGGGCCGCCTCAATGCAAAAACCAATGGAAGCGCCTTGCCTGGAACCAGGCCCAAGCCATCGCCGACACCGCTGTTACAAGCCAACACCACTGCTAACTACCACCACTACTGCTAACTACTACTAACCACCACCACCACTACTAACCACCACTACAAACCACCACTACTGCTAACTACCACCACTACTACTACTAACCACTACTAACCACCACTACAAACCAACACCACTGCTAACTACCACCACTACTAACCACCACTACAAGCCACCACTACTGCTAACTACCACCACTACTACTACTAACCACTACTAACCACCACTACTAACCACCACTACAAACCCACACCACTGCTAACTACCACCACTATTACTACTACTAACCACCACTACTAACCACCACTACAAACCAACACCACTGCTAACTACCACCACTACTAACTACTGCTAACTACTACTAACCACCACCACTAACCGCCACCAACCACCGCTACTAACCGCTACAAGCTACCACTACTGCTAACTACCACCACTACTACTAACCACTACTAACCACCACTACTAACCACCACTACTGCTAACTACCACCACTACTAACTACTAACCACCATCACTAGTAACTACTGCTAACCACCACCACTGCTGCTAACTGCAACTACTACTAGCTACTACTAACCACTATTAACCACCATCACTACTAACCACCACCACCAACCATCACTTCTAACCACCGCCAACCATCACTACTAACCACCACCACGAACCACCACCACTACTAATTACTAACCACCACTACTGTTAACTACTACTAACTACCACCACTAACCACCAACTACCAACGCTACTAACCACTAACAATCACCACCACTACTAACTACTATTAACCACCACTAACCACCACCACTACTAGCCACCACTACTACTAACCACCACTACTAACCACCACTAACCACCACTACTAACCACCACTAACCACCACTACGAACCACCACAACTACTAACCACCACTAACCACCACCACTACTAACCATCACCTCTACTACTAACCATCACCACTACTACTAACCATCACCAACACCACTACTAACCACCCCTAACCACCACCACTACTAACCACCACTAACCACCACTACTACTAACCACCACCACTACTACTAACCATCACCACTAACCACCACTACTACTAACCACCACAACTACTAACCACCACCACTACGAATCACCACTACTACTAACTATCACCAACACCACTAACCACCACCACTACTAACCACCACTAACCACCACCACTACTAACCACCACTACTACTAACCATCACCACTACTACTAACCACTACTAACCACCAACACCACTACTAACCACCACCACTACTAACCACCACCACTACTAACCACCACTACTAACCACCACCACTACTAACCACCACTAACCACCACCACTACTAACCACCACTAACCACTACTAACCACCACTAACCACCACCACTACTAACCACTACTATCTGCTACCACCATCACTACGCCTTCAATCTCTACACAACATGTTTTTAGTGACGTTTATAGCAAAAAAATCGGTCTGAATTGGTCTGTAATTAGGTCGGCACTGATAGGGGGTTGACAGGTATGACAGTGGTGGTGATGGTGATCACAGTGATGGCGATAACAGTGGTGGTGATAACAGTGGTGGTGATGGTGATACCAGTGATGGTGATAACAGTGGTGGTGATGGTGATAACAGTGATGGTGATACCAGTGGTGGTGATAACAGTGGTGGTGATGGTGATAACAGTGATGGTGATAACAGTGATGGCGATAACAGTGATGGTGATAACAGTGATGGTGATAACAGTGGTGGTGATGGTGATACCAGTGATGGGGATAACAGTGGTGGTGATGGTGATAACAGTGATGGTGGTAACAGTGGTGGTGATGGTGATAACAGTGATGGTGATAACAGTGGTGGTGATGGTGATAACAGTAGTGGTGATGGTGATAACAGTCATGGTGATAACAGTGGTGGTGATGGTGATAACAGTGATGGTGATAACAGTGGTGATGGTGATAACAGTGATAGTGATGGTGATAACAGTGGTGGTGATAGTGATGATGACAGTGATGGTGATAACAGTGGTGATTGTGATAACAGTGGTGATGGTGATAACACTGATGGTGATGACAGTGGTGGTGATAGCAATGATGATAACAGTGGTGATTGTGATAACAGTGGTGATTGTGATAACAGTGGTGGTGATAGTGATGATGATAACACAGTGGTGATTGTGATAACAGTGGTGGTGATAGTGATGGTGACAACAGAGTGGTGATTGTGATAACAGTGATGGTGATAGTGATGGTGACAACAGAGTGGTGATTGTGATAACAGTGATGGTGATAACAGTGACGATGATATGATAACAGTGATGGCGATAGTGATGGTGACAACAGTGTGGTGATTGTGATAACAGTGATGGTGATAGTGATGATGATAACAGTGATGGTGATAACATCTCCCCCACCCCCCATCTCCCTCCCCATCTCCCCATCTCCCTCCCCCCTGCCCCCCACCCCCAACGAAGGTCCGCATGGAGCGTGGAGGAGCTGGTTCAGGGTGTGGCTCAGCTGCAGGAGGAGGAGGGGGGAGCAAACGAGCCCTGGCCGAGTCTCCTGGTGGTGGTGGTGGTGGAGGTGGTGGTGGAAGTGGCGGCGGTGGCGGAGGTGGTGGCGGTGGAGGTGGTGGAGGCGGTGGTCCACCTCCAGAGAAACGTCTCAATGTGGGTGGGGGTGGCGGAGGGGGAGGGGGGGGGCGGGGGCCCCCCCCCTCCGGGCTCGGCTGGGGGGGGTGCACCGGGGGGGGAGGGTGGAGCGGGGGGTGGGGGTGGAGCCAAGACCACGACGCTCATAGAGCCCATCAAGATGGGCGGCATCGCCTCGCTGGTGAGGCACCCACCCGCTCGCCCGCTCAGTCATCCACCCGCCCGCTCACTCACCCACCCACTCACTCACCCACCTACTTGCCCACTCACCCACCCACTCACCCACTCACCCACTCACCCACCTACTTGCCCACTCACCCACCCACCCACTCGCTCACTCACCCACTCACCCACCCACTCACTCACTCACTCACCCACCTACTTGCCCACTCACTCACCCACCCACTCACCCACCCACTCACTCACTCACCCAACCACTCACCCACTCAATCATCCACTCGCCTACTCACCCACTCACCCACCCACTCACTCACCCACCTACTTGCCCACTCACTCACCCACACACTCACCCACCCACCCACTCACTCACCCACCCACTCACTCACCCACCTCTCACTCACTCACCCAACCACTCACCCACTCAATCATCCACTCGCCTACTCACCCACCCACTCACCCACTCAAATCATCCACTCGCCTACTCACCCACTCACCCACCCACTCACTCACCCACCCACTCACCCACTCAATCATCCACTCGCCTACTCACCCACTCACCCACCCACCCACTCACTCACCCACCCACTCTCTCAATCACCCACTCACCCGCCCACCCACCCATTCACTCACACACTCACTCACCCACTCACCCACCCACTCACCCACCCACTCACCCACTCACTCACTCACCCACCCACCCATTCACTCACCCACTCACCCACCCACTCTCTCACTCACCCACCCACTCTCTCACTCACCCACTCACTCACCCACCCGCCCACTCACTCACTCACTGACCCACTCACTCACCCGCCCAACCACCCACTCACCCACCCACTCACCCACTCACCCACCCACTCACCCACTCACTCACCCACTCACTCACCCACTCACTCACCCACTCACCCACCCACTCACCCACTCACTCACCCACTCACTCACCCACCCACCCACTCTCTCAATCACCCACTCACCCGCCCACCCACCCATTCACTCACCCACCCACCCACTCACTCACTCACCCACTCACTCACTCACCCACCCACTCTCTCACTCACCCATTCACTCACCCGCCCACTCTCCCACTCACTCACCCACCCACCCACCCATTCACTCACCCACTCACTCACCCACTCACTCACCCACCCACTCACTCACCCACCCACCCGCCCACCCACTCACCCACCCACTCACCCACCCACCCAACCACCCACTTACCCACCCACTCACCCACCCACTCACTCACTCACTCACCCACTCACCCACCCACCCACTCTCCCACTCACCCACCCACTCTCTCACTCACCCATTCACTCACCCGCCCACTCTCCCACTCACCCACTCACCCACTCACCCGCCCAACCACCCACTCACCCACCCACACACTCTCTCACTCACCCACCCACTCACCCGCCCAACCACCCACCCACTCACTCACTCACCCACCCACTCTCTCACCCTCTCACCCACCCACCCACTCACTCACCCACCCGCCCAACCACCCACTCACCCACCCACACACTCTCTCACTCACCCATTCACTCACCCGCCCACTCTCCCACTCACTCACTCACCCACTCACTCACCCACTCACTCACTCACTCACCCACCCGCCCACTCACCCACCCACTCACTCACCCACCCACCCACCCACCCACTCACCCACCCACCCACCCACACACCCACCCACCCACCCGCCCAACCACCCACGCCCGCCCCCGCCCCCCCCCCTCCGCAGGAAGAGATGGACCTCAAGGTGCTGCAGTTCAAGAACAAGAAGCTGGTGGAGCGTCTGGAGCAGCGTCAGGCCATCGAGGACGAGCTGCGGGAGCGCATCGAGAAGCTGGAGAAGCGGCAGGCAACGGACGACGCCACGCTGCTCACGGTCAACCGCTACTGGCGGCAGCTGGACGACAACGTGCGCCTGCTGCTGCTGCGATTCCAGCAGCACGGGGCCACGGGAGGTGAGGTGGGCGGGGGATGGAGGATGGAGGTGGTGGTGGTGGTGGTGGTGGTTGGTGATGGTGGTGGGGGAGGTGGTGGTGGTGGTGGGGGTGGTGGTGGTGGTGGGGGAGGTTGGTGGTGGTGGTGATGGTGGTGGTGGTGGTGGTGGTGGTTGGTGATGGTGGTGGGGGTGGTGGTGGTGGTGGTGGGGGTGGTGGTGGTGGGGGTGGTGGTGGGGGAGGAGGTGGTGGTGGCGGTGGTGGTGGTTGGTGATGGTGGTGGGGGAGGTGGTGGTGGTGGTGATGGTGGTGGGGGAGGAGGTGGTGGGTGTGGTGGTGGTGGGGGAGGAGATGGAGGAGGTGGTGGTGGTGATGGTGGGGGTGTTGGTGGTGGTGGTGATGGTGGTGGTGGTGATGGTGGTGGGGGAGGAGGTGGTGGGTGTGGGGGTGGTGATGGTGATAGGGGTGGAGGAGGTGGTGGTGATGGTGGTGGAGGAGGAGGAGGTGGCGGTGGGGGAGGTTGGTGGTGGTTGGTGATGGTGGTGGTGGTGGTGGTGGTGGTGGTTGGTGGTGGTGGTGGAGGAGGTGGTGGTGGTGGTGGGGGTGGTGGTGGTGGGGGTGGTGGTGGGGGAGGAGGTGGTGGTGGCGGTGGTGGTGGTTGGTGATGGTGGTGGGGGAGGTGGTGGTGGTGGTGATGGTGGTGGGGGAGGAGGTGGTGGGTGTGGTGGTGGTGGGGGAGGAGATGGAGGAGGTGGTGGTGGTGATGGTGGGGGTGTTGGTGGTGGTGGTGATGGTGGTGGTGGTGATGGTGGTGGGGGAGGAGGTGGTGGGTGTGGTGGTGGTGATGGTGATAGGGGTGGAGGAGGTGGTGGTGATGGTGGTGGAGGAGGAGGAGGTGGTTGGTGGTGGTGGGGGTGGTGGAGATGGAGGAGGTGGTGGAGGAGATGGAGGAGGTGGTGGTGATGGTGGTGGTGGTGTTGGTGGTGTTGGTGGTGGTGGTGGTGGTGATGATGGTGGTTGGTGGTGGTGGTGTTGGTGGTGGTGGTGGTTGGTGGTGGTGATGGAGGAGGAGGTGTTGGTGGTGGTGGTGGAGGAGGTGGTGGTGGTGGTGGTGGGGGAGGTGGTGGTGGGGGAGGTGGTGGTGATGGTGGTGGTGGTGGGGGAGGAGGTGGTGGTGGTGGGGGAGGAGGTGATGGTGGTGGTGGTGGTGGGGGTGGTGGTGGTGGTGATGGTGGTGGTGGTGGTGGTGGGGGAGGAGGTGGTGGTGGTGGGGGAGGAGGTGATGGTGGTGGTGGTGGTGGTGGGGGTGGTGGTGATGGTGGTGGTGGAGGAGATGGAGGAGGTGATGGTGGTGGTGGTGATGGTGGTGATGGTGGTGTTGGTGGTGTTGGTGGTGGTGGTGGTGTTGGTGGTGATGGTGGTGTTGGTGGTGATGGTGGTGATGGTGGTGTTGGTGGTGATGGTGGTGTTGGTGGTGATGGTGGTGATGGTGGTGGTGGTGGTGGTGTTGGTGGTGATGGTGGTGATGGTGGTGGTGGTGATGGTGGTGATGGTGGTGATGGTGGTGGGGGTGGTGGAAGAGATGGAGGAGGTGGTGGAGGAGATGGTGGTGGTGTTGGTGGTGGTGTTGGTGGTGATGGTGGTGATGGTGGTATTGGTGGTGGGGGTGGTGGAGGAGATGGAGGAGGTGTTGGTGGTGATGGTGATGGTGGTGGTGATGGTGGTGATGGTGGTGGTGATGGTGGTGATGGTGGTGGTGGTGATGGTGGTGATGGTGGTGGTGGTGATGGTGGTGGTGGTGATGGTGGTGGTGTTGGTGGTGATGGTGGTGATGGTGGTGGTGATGGTGGTGGTGTTGGTGGTGATGGTGGTGATGGTGGTGGTGTTGGTGGTGATGGTGGTGGTAGTGGTTGACGCTAGCAGCACTTGCCCCGACTGTCCAAGGCTACTTGGGGGACATTTGTGCCTGTGTCTCTGTGTCTTGGTGGTGGTGGTGGTGGTGATAGTGGTGGTGGAGGTGGTGGTGGAGGTGGTGGTGGAGGTGATGATAGAGAAGGAGGTGGTGATGATGGAGGCGGTGGCGGGGTCGGAGGAGGTGGTTGGAGGTCGTGATGGAGGAGGTGTTGGTGGTGATGGTGGTGGTGGTGGGGGTGGTGAAGGAGACGGAGGAGATGGAGGAGGTGATGGTGGTGATGGAGGAGGTGTTGGTGGTGATGGTGGTGATGCCCAGCCACCGCCTGCCGAAACAGCTTTTGTTCGGCCGGATCGAGGGGGCTAAGCGGGCGCGGCACGGGCTAGAGAAGAGATGGAGTGATGTGGTACAGGAGGACGTGGAGCTGAGTGGACTTGCCGATGACTGGTACCAGCAGTGTCAAGATCGGCCTCTGTGGAGGAGGCTCGTGAAGGATGCTACTGGCCAGTGGGAGGTAGGCGCCCTACAACAACGGAGGGCGGAGGAGCGACGCTCACAACAACGAGCTGAGCGCCGGGTGGCTAAAGCGCAGCAGGTTGGCACAGTAGGGGGCACAGGTGGTGCATCAGCCAGTCATCTCAGTCAGTCGACCCGTGGCACCTAGGTCTGCCCCGTGACCTCCTGCCAGCGGGCGTTCAACACTTCACGTGGCCTCAGGGTGCACATAGCCTGGCACAAGCGTCGTGGTGACGTCACCGCCACTTAGTGGCGAATGGCGGTTGTTGTTGTTGATGGTGGTGGTAGTGGTTGACGCTAGCAGCACTTGCCCCGACTGTCCAAGGCTACTTGGGGGACATTTGTGCCTGTGTCTCTGTGTCTTGGTGGTGGAGGTGGTGGTGGTGGTGATAGTGGTGGTGGAGGTGGTGGTGGAGGTGATGATAGAGATGGAGGTGGTGATGATGGAGGTGGCGGTGGTGGTGGTGGTGGAGGTTGTGGTGATGATGTAGGTGGTGGAGGTGGTGGTGGTGGAGGTGAGCTACTCGCTAACAGCACTTGCCCCGACTGCCCAAGGCTACCTGGGGGATATGTGTGTCTGTCTCTGTGTGTGTCTCTGTGTGTGTCTCTGTGTGTGTCTCTGTGTGTGTCTCTGTGTGTGTCTCTGTGTGTGTCTCCGTGTGTGTCTCCGTGTGTGTCTCTGTGTGTGTCTCTGTGTGTCTCTCTGTGTGTGTTTCCGTGTGTGTCTCCGTGTGTGTCTCCGTGTGTGTCTCTGTGCGTGTCTCTGTGTGTGTGTGTGTCTCCGTGTGTGTCTCCGTGTGTGTCTCCGTGTGTGTCTCTGTGTGTGTCTCTGTGTGTGTCTCCGTGTGTGTCTCCGTGTGTGTCTCTGTGTGTCTCTGTGTGTGTCTCCATGTGTGTCTCTGTGTTTCTCCATGTGTGTCTCCGTGTGTGTCTCGGTGTGTATCTCCATGTGTGTCTCTGTGTGTGTCTCCGTGTGTGTCTCTGTGTGTGTCTCTGTGTGTCTCTGTGTGTGTCTCTGTGTGTCTCTGTGTGTGTCTCTGTGTGTGTCTCTGTGTGTCTCCGTGTGTGTCTCTGTGTGTGTCTCCGTGTGTGTCTCTGTGTGTGTCTCTGTGTGTGTCTCTGTGCGAGTCTCTGTGTGTGTCTCCGTGTGTGTCTCTGTGTGTGTCTCTGTGTGTCTCTGTGTGTGTCTCTGTGTGTCTCTGTGTGTGTCTCTGTGTGTGTCTCTGTGTGTCTCCGTGTGTGTCTCTGTGTGTGTCTCTGTGTGTGTCTCTGTGTGTGTCTCTGTGTGTGTCTCTGTGCGAGTCTCTGTGTGTGTCTCCGTGTGTGTCTCTGTGTGTGTCTCTGTGTGTCTCCGTGTGTGTCTCTGTGTGTGTCTCCGTGTGTGTCTCCGTGTGTGTCTCTGTGTGTGTCTCTGTGTGTCTCTGTGTGTGTCTCCATGTGTGTCTCTGTGTTTCTCCATGTGTGTCTCTGTGTGTGTATCTGTGTGTCTCTGTGTGAGTCTCTGTGTGTGTCTCTGTGTGTCTCTGTGTGTGTCTCTGTGTGTCTCTGTGTGTGTCTCTGTGTGTGTCTCTCTGTGTGTCTCTGTGTGTGTCTCTGTGTGTGTCTCTGTGTGTGTCTCTGTGTGTGTCTCTGTGTGTGTCTCTGTGTGTGTCTCTGTGTGTGTCTCCGTGTGTGTCTCCGTGTGTGTCTCTGTGTGTGTCTCTGTGTGTCTCTGTGTGTCTCTGTGTGTGTCTCTGTGTGTGTCTCTGTGTGTGTCTGTGTGTGTCTCTGTGTGTGTCTCCGTGTGTGTCTCCGTGTGTGTCTCTGTTTGTGTCTCTGTGTGTGTCTCTGTGTGTGTCTCTGTGTGTCTCTGTGTGTGTGTGTGGAGTATCACTCTGTGTGTGTCTCTGTGTGTGTCTCTGTGTGTCTCTGTGTGTCTCTGTGTCTCGGTGGAGAAGGTGGTGGTGATGCGGAGTCGCAGGTCGATCCGGACACGGATGGAGATGGAGAGCGAGAGGAGAGGGGTGAGTGTGGGTAGGGGTGAGTGTGGGTAGGTGTAGGGGTGAGTGTGGGTAGGTGTAGGGGTGATTGTGGGTAGGTGTAGGGGTGAGTGTGGGTAGGAGTAGGGGTGAGTGTGGGTAGGGGTGAGTGTGAGTAGGGGTGAGTGTGGGTAGGGGTGAGTGTTGGTAGGGGTGAGTGTAGGTAGGGGTGAGTGTAGGTAGGGGTGAGTGGGGTGAGTGTGGGTAGGAGTAGGGGTGAGTGTGGGTAGGGGTGAGTGTGGGTAGGTGTAGGGGTGAGTGTGGGTAGGAGTAGGGGTGAGTGTGGTGAGTGTGGGTAGGTCTAGGGGTGAGTGTGGGTAGGTGTAGGGGTGAGTGTGGGTAGGGGTGAGTGTGGGTAGGGGTGAGTGTGGGTAGATGTAGGGGTGAGTGTGGGTAGGAGTAGGGGTGAGTGTGGGTAGGGGTGAGTGTTGGTAGGGGTGAGTGTTGGTAGGGGTGAGTGTGAGTAGGGGTGAGTGTGGGTAGGTCTAGGGGTGAGTGTGGTGAGTGTGGGTAGGAGTAGGGGTGAGTGTGGTGAGTGTGGGTAGGGGTGAGTGTGGGTAGGGGTGAGTGTGGGTAGGGGTGAGTGTGGGTAGGGGTGAGTGTGGGTAGGGGTGAGTGTGGGTAGGAGTAGGGGTGAGTGTGGGTAGGGGTGAGTGTGGGTAGGTGTAGGGGTGAGTGTGGTAAGTGTGGGTAGGGGTGAGTGTGGGTAGGGGTGAGTGTGGTGAGTGTGGGTAGGGGTGAGTGTGGGTACGTGTAGGGGTGAGTGTGGGTAGGTGTAGGGGTGAGTGTGGGTAGGGGTGAGTGTGGGTAGGAGTAGGGGTGAGTGTGGGTAGGGGTGAGTGTGGGTAGGTGTAGGGGTGAGTGTGGTAAGTGTGGGTAGGGGTAAGTGTGGGTAGGGGTGAGTGTGGGTAGGTGTAGGGGTGAGTGTGGGTAGGTGTAGGGGTGAGTGTGGGTAGGGGTGAGTGTGGGTAGGGGTGAGTGTGGGTAGGTGTAGGGGTGAGTGTGGGTAGGTGTAGGGGTGAGTGTGGGTAGGGGTGAGTGTGGGTAGGGGTGAGTGTGGGTAGGTGTAGGGGTGAGTGTGGGTAGGGGTGAGTGTGGGTAGGGGTAGGGGTGAGTGTGGGTAGGGGTGAGTGTGGGTAGGTGTAGGGGTGAGTGTGGTAAGTGTGGGTAGGGGTGAGTGTGGGTAGGGGTGAGTGTGGTGAGTGTGGGTAGGGGTGAGTGTGGGTAGGTGTAGGGGTGAGTGTGGGTAGGTGTAGGGGTGAGTGTGGGTAGGGGTGAGTGTGGGTAGGGGTGAGTGTGGGTAGGTGTAGGGGTGAGTGTGGGTAGGTGTAGGGGTGAGTGTGGTGAGTGTGGGTAGGGGTGAGTGTGGGTAGGGGTGAGTGTGGGTTGGGGTGAGTGTGGGTAGGGGTGAGTGTGGGTAGGGGTGAGTGTGGTGAGTTTGGGTAGGTGTAGGGGTGAGTGTGGTGAGTGTGGGTAGGAGTAGGGGTGAGTGTGGGTAGGAGTAGGGGTGAGTGTGGTAAGTGTGGGTAGGGGTGAGTGTGGGTAGGGGTGAGTGTGGTGAGTGTGGGTAGGGGTGAGTGTGGGTAGGTGTAGGGGTGAGTATGGGTAGGTGTAGGGGTGAGTGTGGGTAGGGGTGAGTGTGGGTAGGGGTGAGTGTGGGTAGGTGTAGGGGTGAGTGTGGGTAGGGGTGAGTGTGGGTAGGTGTAGGGGTGAGTGTGGGTAGGGGTGAGTGTGGGTAGGGGTGAGTGTGGGTAGGAGTAGGGGTGAGTGTGGGTAGGGGTGTGTGTGGGTAGCGGTGAGTGTGGGTAGGGGTGAGTGTGGTGAGTGTGGGTAGGTCTAGGGGTGAGTGTGGGTAGGGGTGAGTGTGGGTAGGGGTGAGTGTGGGTAGGAGTAGGGGTGAGTGTGGTGAGTGTGGGTAGGGGTGAGTGTGGATCGGGGTGAGTGTGGATAGGGGTGAGTGTAGGTAGGGGTGAGTGTAGGTAGGGGTGAGTGTAGGTAGGTGTAGGGGTGAGTGTAGGTAGGGGTGAGTGTAGGTAAGGGTGAGTGTGGGTAGGTGTAGGGGTGAGTGTAGGTAGGGGTGAGTGTAGGTAGGGGTGAGTGTAGGTAGGGGTGAGTGTGGGTAGGGGTGAGTGTGGGTAGGGGTGAGTGTAGGTAGGGGTGAGTGTAGGTAGGTGTAGGGGTGAGTGGGGTGAGTGTGGGTAAGTGTCAGGGTGAGTGTGGGTAGGCGTAGGAGTAAGTGTGGTGAGTGTGGGTAGGGGTGAGTGTAGGTAGGGGTGAGTGGGGTGAGTGTAGGTAGGGGTTAGTGGGGTGAGTGTAGGTAGGGGTGAGTGTGGGTAGGGGTGAGTGTGGGTAGGGGTGAGTGTGGGTAGGGGTGAGTGTAGGTAGGGGTGAGTGTGGGTAGGGGTGAGTGGGGTGAGTGTAGGTAGGGGTGAGTGGGGTGAGTGTAGGTAGGGGTGAGTGTGGGTAGGGGTGAGTGTAGGTAGGGGTGAGTGTAGGTAGGGGTGAGTGTGGGTAGGGGTGAGTGTAGGTAGGGGTGAGTGTGGGTAGGTGTAGGGGTGAGTGTAGGTAGGGGTGAGTGTGGGTAGGTGTAGGGGTGAGTGTCGGTAGGTGTAGGGGTGAGTCTGGGTAGGGGTGAGTGTGGGTAGGGGTCAGTGTGGGTAGGGGTGAGTGTAGGTAGGGGTGAGTGTAGGTAGGGGTGAGTGTAGGTAGGGGTGAGTGTAGGTAGGGGTGAGTGTAGGTAGGGGTGAGTGTAGGTAGGGGTGAGTGGGGTGAGTGTAGGTAGGAGTGAGTGGGGTGAGTGTAGGTAGGGGTGAGTGTAGGTAGGGGTGAGTGTGGGTAGGGGTGAGTGGGGTGAGTGTAGGTAGGGGTGAGTGTGGGTAGGGGTGAGTGGGGTGAGTGTAGGTAGGGGTGAGTGTAGGTAGGGGTGAGTGTAGGTAGGGGTGAGTGGGGTGAGTGTAGGTAGGATTGAGTGGGATGAGTGTAGGTAGGGGTGAGTGTGGGTAGGGGTGAGTGGGGTGAGTGTGGGTAGGGGTGAGTGTAGGTAGGGGTGAGTGGGGTGAGTGTAGGTAGGGGTGAGTGTGGGTAGGGGTGAGTGGGGTGAGTGTAGGTAGGGGTGAGTGTAGGTAGGGGTGAGTGTAGGTAGGGGTGAGTGGGGTGAGTGTAGGTAGGATTGAGTGGGATGAGTGTAGGTAGGGGTGAGTGTGGGTAGGGGTGAGTGGGGTGAGTGTGGGTAGGGGTGAGTGTAGGTAGGGGTGAGTGTGGGTAGGGGTGAGTGTAGGTAGGGGTGAGTGTGGGTAGGTGTAGGGGTGAGTGTAGGTAGCGGTGAGTGGGGTGAGTGTAGGTAGCTGTGAGTGGGGTGAGTGTAGGTAGGGGTGAGTGTAGGTAGGGGTGAGTGTAGGTAGGGGTGAGTGTAGGTAGGGGTGAGTGTGGGTAGGGGTGAGTGGGGTGAGTGTAGGTAGGGGTGAGTGTGAGTAGGGGTGAGTGTGGGTAGGGGTGAGTGTGGGTAGGGGTGAGTGTGGGTAGGTGTAGGGGTGAGTATGGTGAGTGTGGGTAGGGGTGAGTGTGGGTAGGTGTAGGGGTGAGTGTGGGTAGGAGTAGGGGTGAGTGTGGGTAGGGGTGAGTGTGGGTAGGGGTGATTATGGGTAGGGGTGAGTGTGGGTAGGTGTAGGGGTGAGTGTGGGTAGGAGTAGGGGTGAGTGTGGTGGGTGTGGGTAGGTCTAGGGGTGAGTGTGGGTAGGTGTAGGGGTGAGTATGGGTAGGGGTGAGTGTGGGTAGGGGTGAGTGTGAGTAGGGGTGAGTGTAGGTAGGAGTAGGGGTGAGTGTGGTGAGTGTGGGTAGGGGTGAGTGTGGGTCGGGGTGAGTGTGGATAGGGGTGAGTGTAGGTAGGGGTGAGTGTAGGTAGGTGTAGGGGTGAGTGGGGTGAGTGTGGGTAAGTGTCAGGGTGAGTGTGGGTAGGTGTAGGGGTTAGTGTGGTGAGTGTGGGTAGGGGTGAGTGTGGGTAGGTGTAGGGGTGAGTGTGGTGAGTGTGGGTAGGTGTCAGGGTGAGTGTGGTGAGTGTGGGTAGGTGTCAGGGTGAGTGTGGTGAGTGTGGGTAGGTGTCAGGGTGAGTGGGGTGAGTGTGGATAGGGGTGAGTGGGGTGGGTGTGGGTAGGCATAGGGCTGAGTGGGGTGAGTGTGGGTAGGGGTGAGTGTGGGTAGGTGTCAGGGTGAGTGGGGTGAGTGTGGGTAGGGGTGAGTGTGGGTAGGGGTGAGTGTGGGTAGGGGTGAGTGTGGGTAGGGGTGAGTGTAGGTAAGGGTGAGTGTAGGTAGGGGTGAGTGTGGGTAGGGGTGAGTGTAGGTAAGGGTGAGTGTAGGTAGGGGTGAGTGTGGGTAGGGGTGAGTGGGGTGAGTGTAGGTAGGGGTGAGTGTGGGTAGGGGTGAGTGTAGGTAGGGGTGAGTGTGGGTAGGGGTGAGTGTGGGTAGGGGTGAGTGGTGTGAGTGTGGGTAGGGGTGAGTGTGGGTGAGTGTGGGTAGGGGTGAGTGTGGGTAGGGGTGAGTGTAGGTAGGGCTGAGTGTGGGTAGGGGTGAGTGGGGTGAGTGTGGGTAGGGGTGAGTGTGGGTGAGTGTGGGTATGGGTGAGTGTGGGTAGGGGTGAGTGTAGGTAGGGGTGAGTGTGGGTAGGGGTGAGTGTAGGTAGGGGTGAGTGTGGGTAGGGGTGAGTGTAGGTTAGGGGTGAGTGGGGTGAGTGTAGGTAGGGGTGAGTGTGGGTAGGGGTGAGTGTGGGTAGGGGTGAGTGTGGGTAGGGGTGAGTGTAGGTAGGGGTGAGTGTAGGTAGGGGTGAGTGTAGGTAGGGGTGAGTGTAGGTTAGGGGTGAGTGTAGGTAGGGGTGAGTGTAGGTAGGGGTGAGTGTAGGTAGGGGTGAGTGTAGGTTAGGGGTGAGTGTAGGTTAGGGGTGAGTGTGGGTAGGCATTAGGGGTGAGTGGTGTGAGTGTAGGTTAGGGGTGAGTGTGGGTAGGCATTAGGGGTGAGTGAGGAGAGGGTGGCGAGTGCCCACCACCCTCACCACCCCTCACCAACCCTCACCAACCCTCACCAACCCTCACCAACCCTCACCAATCCTCACCTCTCTCCTTTCCCCCTCCCCTCCGCTCCGCCGGTGGTTTTGCAGGCGCGGTGCGTGAGAGCACCCTGTCTTTCCTGGCCACGCTCGCCTCGTCCTCCGTGGAGGAGATGGAGCAGGAGCTGGGGGCGAGGGTCCACTTCTCCACGGAGGCCGTGGGGCGCGTGGCCACAGCCTTCGAGGCCACGGCACGGAGAGCCCACCAGCGTCTGTGGGGCCTCGCCAACTCGCACGGTCAGAGGGGCGCTCAGTCAGGCGGCCAGTCAGTCAGTCACTCAGCCAGTCACTCAGTCAGTCAGTCATTCAGTCAGCCAGTCACTCAGTCAGCCAGTCACTCAGTCAGCCAGTCACTCGGTCAGTCAGTCAGTCACTCAGTCAGTCACTCAGTCAGTTACTCAGTCAGTCAGCCAGTCAGTCAGCCAGTCAGTCAGTCAGTCAGCCAGTCAGGCTGTGGGGCGTGTGGCCACAGCCTTCGAGGCCACGGCACGTGGAGCCCACCAGCGTCTGTGGGGCCTCGCCAACTCGCACGGTCAGAGGGGGGCTCAGTCAGTCAGTCAGTCACTCAGTCAGTCAGTCAGTCAGTTACTCAGTCAGTCAGCCAGTCAGTCCGTGGGGGCGCGTGGCCACAGCCTTCGAGGCCACGGCACGGAGAGCCCACCAGCGTCTGTGGGGCCTCGCCAACTCGCACGGTCAGAGGGGCGCTCAGTCAGGCGGCCACTCAGTCAGTCAGTCAGTTACTCAGTCAGTCAGCCAGTCAGTCAGCCAGTCAGTCAGTCAGTCAGCCAGTTACTCAGTCAGTCAGTCACTCAGTCAGGCGGCCAGTCAGTCAGTCAGTCACTCAGTCAGTCAGTCAGTCACTCAGTCAGTCAGCCAGTCAGTCAGCCAGTCAGTCAGTCAGTCACTCAGTCAGCCAGTTAGTCACTCAGTCAGTCAGTTACTCGGTCAGTCACTCGGTCACTCGGTCAGTCAGTCACTCGGTCAGTCAGTCACTCAGTCACTCGGTTACTCAGTCAGTCACTCAGTCAGTCACTCAGTCAGTCACTCAGTCAGTCAGTCAGTCACTCAGTCAGTCACTCAGTCAGCCAGTCAGTCCGTGGGGGCGCGTGGCCACAGCCTTCGAGGCCACGGCACGGAGAGCCCACCAGCGTCTGTGGGGCCTCGCCAACTCGCACGGTCAGAGGGGGGCTCAGTCAGTCACTCAGTCAGTCACTCAGTCAGCCAGTCACTCAGTCAGCCACTCAGTCAGTCAGTTAGTCACTCAGTCAGTCACTCAGTCAGTCACTCAGTCAGTCACTCAGTCAGTCAGTCACTCAGTCAGCCAGTCACTCAGTCAGTCACTCAGTCAGTCAGTCAGTTAGTCACTCAGTCAGTCACTCAGTCAGTCACTCAGTCAGTCACTCAGTCAGTCAGTCACTCAGTCAGCCAGTCACTCAGTCAGTCACTCGGTCAGTCAGTCACTCAGTCAGTCACTCAGTCAGTCAGTCACTCAGTCAGCCAGTCACTCAGTCAGTCACTCGGTCAGTCAGTTACTCAGTCAGTCAGTCACTCAGTCAGTCACTCGGTCACTCGGTCACTCGGTCAGTCAGTCACTCGGTCAGTCAGTCAGTTACTCAGTCAGTCAGTCACTCAGTCACTCAGTCAGCCATTCACTCAGTCAGTCACTCAGTCAGTCAGTCACTCAGTCAGCCAGTCAGTCAGTTACTCAGTCAGTCAGTCACTCAGTCAGTCACTCAAGTCAGTCAGTCACTCACTCAACCACCCACCTACTCATCCACTCACTCATACACTCACTCACTCACTCATACACTCACTCATACACTCGCACACTCATACAATCACTCACTCATACACTCACTCACTCATTCACTCACTCATACACTCACTCACTCATACACTCACTCACTCATACACTCACTCATAGACTCATACACTCACCTACCCACTCACTGACTCACTCACCTACCCACTCACTGACTCACTCACCTACCCACCCACTCACTCATTCACTCATTCACTCACTCATACACTCACTCACACACTCCTACACTCACTCATTCACTCATACACTCACCTACCCACTCACCGACTCACTCACTCACCTACCCACTCACTCACTCACCTACCCACTCACTCACCCATTGTGCCAGCGATGTTGACTACACTACACCGCGACACCGGGGACTCATTTGAGGCCGAGTCGACCTAGGGGAGGCCCAGAACCGGTTCGTATAGCCCTCGCCGCTAGCGTTGGCGGCCGTGAGCGAGAACCGAACTCTTGCCGCCGGGTTCGGAGCGAAGCGTGGCGCTAACCACCACACCCACCACTCCTCTCAAGCTCACTCACACGTGCCCAGGGGTGGTGGCGGTGGTGGTGGTGGTGGCGGTGGTGGTGGTGGTGGTAGTTGGTGGTGGTGGTGTTTGTGGTGGGGGTGGTGGTATTTGTGGTGGTGGTGGTAGTTGGCGGTGGTGGTAGTTGGTGGCGGTGGTAGTTGGTGGTGGTGGTATTTGTGGTGGTGGTATTTGTGGCAGTGGTGGTATTTGTGGTGGTGGTAGTTTGTGGTGGTGGTAGTTGGTGGTGGTGGTGGTAGTTTGTGGTGGTGGTATTTGTGGTGGTGGTATTTGTGTCGGTGGTGGTGGTGGTAGTTGCCGGTGGTATTTGTGGTGGTGGTGGTATTTGTGTCGGTGGTGGTGGTACTGGTGCCGGTGGTGGTGGTGGTGTTGTTGTGTCGCTGACGGCCCCCCGGCTCGCCCACAGGTGGCGTGGAGGAGTCTCTCCGTGGCCACGCCCGCGACCTCCAGGCTGAGAACGAGCGCCTGCAGGACCTGGCCACGCGCCTGCAGGAGAGGCACCACAAGATGTCACTCGAGGTGGGGCCACGGAGAACGCCGGGCCGTGCCGTCAGCGGATCACTCACTCACTCATTCATACACTCACTCACTCATACACTCACTCATACACTCACTCATACACTCACTCACTCATACACTCATACACTTACTCATACACTCACTCACTCATACACTCATACACTCACTCACTCATACACTCACTCATACACTCACTCACTCACTCATACACTCACTCACTCATACACTCACTCATACACTCACTCACTCACTCATACACTCACTCACTCATACACTCACTCACTCACTCAGTCACCTACTCGCTCACCTACTCACTCACCTAATCACTCACTCACTCACCTACTCACTCACTCACCCAGTCACTCATACACTCACTCACTCAGTCACCCACTCACCCACTCACTCACTCACCTACTCACTCACTCACTCACCTACTCACTCACTCATACACTCACTCATACACTCACTCACTCACTCAGTCACCTACTCACTCACTTACTCACCTAGTCACTCACCTACTCACTCACCCAGTCACTCATACACTCACTCACCTACTCACTCACTCGCTCACCTACTCACCCAGTCACTCATACACTCACTCACTCACCTACTAACTCACTCACTCACTCACCTACTCACTCACCTAGTCACTCACCTAGTCACTCACCTACTCACTCACTCACTCATACACTCACTCACTCACCACTCACTCACTCACTCATACACTCACCCAGTCACTCATACACTCACTCACTCATACACTCACTCACTCACCTACTCACCCAGTCACTCATACACTCACTCACTCATACACTCACTCACTCAGCTACTCACTCACTCACTCATACACTCACTCACTCACCTACTCACTCACTCATTCCATCAGTCACCTACTCACCTAGTCACTCATACACTCAGTTACCTACTCACTCACTCATACACTCACTCACTCACCTACTCACTCACTCATACACTCACTCACTCACCTACTCACTCACTCACTCACCTACTCACTCACTCATACACTCATACACTCACTCATACACTCACTCACCTACTCACTCACCTACTCACTCACCTAGTCACTCACTCACTCACCTACTCACACATACACTCACTCACTCACCTACTCACCCAGTCACTCATACACACACTCACCGACTAACTCACTCACTCACCTACTCACTCACTCACCTACTCACTCATACACTCACTCACTCACCTACACACCCAGTCACTCATACACTCACTCACTCACCTACTATCTCACTCGCTCACCTACTCGCTCACCTACTCACTCACTCACTCACCTACTCACTCACTCACTCACCTACTCACTCACCTACTCACCCAGTCACTCATACACTCACTCACTCAGTCACCCACTCACCCACTCACTCACTCACCTACTCACTCACTCACCTACTCACTCACTCATACACTCACTCACCTACTCAGTCACTCACTCACTCACCTACTCACTCACTTACTCACACACTCATACACTCACTCACTCAGTCACTCACTCACCTACTCACTCACTCATACACTCACTCACCCACTCATTCACTCACTCACCTCACTCACTCACTCAGTCACTCATACACTCAATCACTCAGTCACCCACTCACTCACTCACTCATACACTCACTCACCCACTCACCTACTCACTCACTCAGTCACTCATACACTCAATCACTCAGTCACCCATTCACCCACTCACTCATACACTCACTCACCCACTCACCTACTCACTCACTCATACACTCACTCACCTACTCACACACTCATACACTCACTCACCTACTCGGTCACTCACTCACTCACCTACTCACTCACCTACTCACACACTCATATACTCACTCACTCAGTCACTCACTCACCTACTCACTCACTCATACACTCACTCACCCTCTCACCCACTTACTCACCCACCCACTCACCCACTCACTCACCCACTCACCCACCCACTCGCCCACCCTCTCACCCACCCACTCACCCACCCACCCACTCACCCACTCACCCACCCACTCACCCACTCACCCACCCACTCACCCACCCACTCACCCACCCACTCACTCACTCACCCACTCACTCACTCACTCACTCACCCACCCTCTCAACCACCCTCTCACCCATTCACTCATCCACTCACTCACCCACCCACTCACTCACCCTCTCACCCACCCATTCACCCACTCACCCACCCTCTCACTCACCCACCCACTCACTCACCCTCTCACCCACCCACTCACCCACCCACTCACTCACCTTCTCACCCACCCACTCACCCTCTCACTCACCCACTCACCCACCCACTCACCCACCCACTCATCCACCCTCTCACTCACCCACCCACCCACCAACCCAGTCACCCACCCACCCACTCACTCACTCACTCACCCACCCACTCACCCTCTCACCCACTCACCCACTCACCCTCTCACTGACCAACCCACTCACCAACCCACTCACCCACCCACTCACTCACCCTCTCACCCACTTACTCACCCACCCACTCACCCACTCACTCACCCACTCACCCACCCACTCACCCACCCTCTCACCCACCCACTCACCCACCCACTCACCCACTCACCCACCCACTCACCCACCCACTCACCCACCCACTCACTCACTCACTCACCCACTCACTCACCCACTCACTCACCCACTCACTCACTCACTCACTTGCCCACTCACTCACTCACCCACCCTCTCAACCACCCTCTCACCCACTCACTCACCCACTCACTCACCCTCTCACCCACCCACTCACTCACCCTCTCACGCACCCACTCACCCTCTCACTCACCCACTCACCCACACACTCACTCACCCACCCACTCACTCACCCTCTCACCCACCCACTCACCCACTCACCCACTCACTCACCCACCCACTCACTGACCTTCTCACCCACCCACTCACCCTCTCACTCACCCACTCACCCACCCACTCACCCACCCACTCACCCACCCACTCATCCACCCTCTCACTCACCCACCCATTCACTTACCCACTCACCCACTCACCCACCCTCTCACCCACTCACCCACCCTCTCACCCACCCACCCACTCACCCACTCACCCACCAACCCACTCACCCACCCACCCATTCACCCACTCACTCACTCACCCTCTCACCCACCCACTCACTCACTCACCCACCCACTCATCCACCCTCTCACCCACCCACCCACTCACTCACCCTCTCACCCACCCATTAACCCACTCACCCACCCACCCTCTCACCCACCAACCCACTCACTCACCCACCCACCCACCCACTCACTCACCCTCTCACTCACCCTCTCACCCACCCTCTCACCCACCCACCCACACACTCACTCACTCACCCACCCACCCACCCATTCACTCTCCCACTCACCCACCCACCCTCTCACCCACCCTCTCACCCACTCACTCACCCTCTCACCCACCCACTCACCCTCTCACCCACCCACTCACTCACCCACCCACTCACTCACTCACTCACTCACCCACCCACCCACTCACCCACTCACCCACCCACTCACCCACTCACTCACCCACCCACTCACCCACCCACACACTCACTCACCCACCCCCCCACTCACTCACCCACTCACTCACCCACTCACTCACCCACCCACTCACCCACTCACCCACCCTCTCACCCACTCACTCACCCACCCACTCACCCAACCACCCACTCACCCACTCAACCACCCACCCTCTCACCCACCCACTCACCCACTCACTCACCCACTCACCCACTCACCCACTCACTCACCCACCCACCCACCCTCTCACTCACCCACCCACTCACCCACTCACTCATCCACTCACTCACCCACCCACTCACCCACCCATTCACTCACCCTCTCACCCACCCACCCACTCACTCACTCACCCACCCTCTCACTCACCCACTAACTCACTCACCCACCCACTCACCCTCTCACCCACTCACTCACTCACTGACTCACCCACCCTCTCACCCACTCACCCACCCACTAACTCACTCACCCACCCACTCACTCACCCTCTCAATCACCCACTCACCCACCCACCCACACACCCACTAACTCAATCACCCACCCACTCACTCACCCTCTCAATCACCCACTAACTCACTCACCCACACACTCACTCACTCACCCACTCACCCACCCACTCACTCACCCACTCACCCACTCACTCACCCACTCACCCACCCACTCACCCACTCACCCACTCACTCACCCACTCACTCTCCCACTCACCCACTCACTCACTCACCCACTCACCCACCCACCCACTCACTCACCCTCTCAATCACCCACTAACTCACTGACCCACACACCCACTCACTCATCCACTCACCCACCCACCCACTCACCCACCCACTCACCCACCCTCTCACCCACCCTCTCACCCACTCACTCACCCACCCACCCACTCACCCACCCACCCACTCACCCACCCACTCACCCACCCTCTCACCCACCCACCCACTCACCCACTCACTCACCCACCCACTCACTCACTCACCCACCCACTCACCCACTCACCCACCCTCTCACCCACCCACCCACTCACCCACCCATTCACTCACCCTCTCACCCACCCTCTCACCCACTCACTCACCCACCCACCAACCCACCCACTCACCCACCAACCCACCCACTCACTCACCCACTCACCCACCAACCCACCCACTCTCTCACCAACCCACTCACCCACCCACTCACCCACTCACCCACTCACTCACCCACCCACTCACTCACTCACCCACTCACTCACCCACCCACCCACTCACCCACCCACTCACCCACCCTCTCACCCACTCACTCACCCACCCACCCACTCACTCACTCACCCACTCACTCACCCACCCACTCACCCACTCACCCACCCTCTCACTCACACACCCACTCACCCACCCACTCACTCACCCACTCACTCACTCACCCCCCCACTCACCCTCTCACCCACCCACCCACTCACTCACTCACCCACCCACCCTCTCACCCACTCACCCACCCACCAATCCACTCACCCACCCACCCACTCACCCACTCACCCACTCACTCACCCTCTCACCCACTCACCCACTCACTCACCCACTCACTCACCCACCCACCCACTCTCCCACTCACCCACCCACTCACCCACCCACTCACTCACTCACCCACCAACCCACTCACTCACCCACTCACCCACCCACTCACCCACTCACTCACCCTCTCACTCACCCACCCACTCACCCACTCACCCACCCACTCACTCACCCACTCACCCTCTCACCCACTCACCCACTCACCCACCCACTCACTCACCCACTCACCCACCCTCTCACCCTCTCACCCACTCACCCACCCACTAACTCACTCACCCACCCACTCACTCACCCTCTCAATCACCCACTAACTCACTCACCCACCCACTCACCCTCTCACCCACCCTCCCACCCTCTCACCCACCCACTCACTCACCCTCTCACCCACCCACTCATCCACCCACTCATCCACCCTCTCACCCACCCACCCATTAACCCACTCACCCACCAACCCACCCACCAACCCACCCACCCACTCACCCACCCACCCACTCACCCACTCACCCACCCACCCACTCACCCACCAACCCACCCACCCACCCACTCACCCACCCACCCTCTCACACCCCCCCCAGTTCACAGAGCTGCAGGACAAAGTGGTTGCGGCTGAGACTCGTGTCACGGAGATGGGCACCACGGTGGAGGACCTCCAGTGGGAGGTGGACAAGCTGAGGCGCCGTGAGCAGAAACTGAACCGCCACCTGGCCGAGGCGCTCGAGAAGGTGACACACAGCCACCACCACCACCGCCACCACTACTACAACTACAACTACCACAACTATCACAACTACTACTCACTACTACCACAGCCACCACCACCGCTACTACTAACTACCACTACAGCTACCACCACAACCACCACTACTACTACCACAATTACTACTACCACAACAACTACTACAAACTACCACCACTACCACCACTACTACTCACTACTACCACAGCCACCACCACCACTACTACTACTAACTACCACTACTACTACTAACTAACTACCACTACTACTAACTGACACAACTAGTACCACAACAACTACTACCACCACTACCACCACTACTTCTACTACTACTACCACAACAGCTACCACCACAACCACCACTACTACTACAACTACTACTAACTACTACCACAACAACTACTACCACTACCACCACCACCACTACCACTACTAACTACCACAACAGCTACCACCACAACCACTACTACCACAATTACTACTAACTACTACCACAACAACTACTACAACTACCACCACTACCACCACTACTACTCACTACTACCACAGCCACCACCACCGCCACCACTACTACTACAACTACCACAACAGCTACCACCACAACCACCACTACCACTACTACTACCACAATTACTACTAACTACTACCACAACAACTACTACCACTACCACCACCACTACCACTACTAACTACCACAACAGCTACCACCACAACTACCACTACTACTACCACAATTACTACTAACTACTACCACAACAACTAATACAAACTACCACCACTACCACTACCACCACTACTACTCACTACTACCACAGCCACCACCACCGCCACCACTACAACTACAACTACCACAACAGCTACCACCACAACCACCACTACTACTACCACAATTACTACTAACTACTACCACAACAACTACTACAAACTACCACCACCACCACTACCACCACTACTACTACAACTACCACAACAGCTACCACCACTACTACTTCTACAACTACCACTACTACTACTCACTACTACCACAACAACTACTACAAACTACCACCACCACCACTACTACTACAACTACCACAACAGCTACCACCACCACCACTACTACTTCTACAACTACCACCACTACTACTCACTACTACCACAACAACTACTACTACCACTACCACAGCTACCACCACTACTACAACTACTACTAACTACTACTACTACCACAACAACTACTACTACCACTACCACAGCTACCACCACCACCACTACCACCGCTACTACCACCACAACTACCACCACCACCACTACTACTAACTACCACTACTACAACTACCACCACTACCACAACTACTATTCACTACTACCACAACTACCACTACCACCACCACTACCACTACAACTACCACAACAGCTACCACCACAACCACCACTACCACTACTACTACCACAATGACTACTAACTACTACCACAACAACTACTACAAACTACCACCACCACCACCACCGCTACCACTACTACTACTAACTACCACTACTACTACTCACTACTACCACAACAACTACTACTACCACTACTACAGCTACCACCACCACCACTACTTCTACTACAACTACCACTACTACTACTCACTACTACCACTACTAACTACCACAACTACTACCACAACAACTACTACCACTACCACAGCTACCACCACCACTACTACTACTACAACTACACCTACTACTACTCACTACTACCACTACTACTCACTACTACCACAACTACTACTAACTACCACCACTACCACCACTACTACTAACTACCACTACTACTCCTAACTACTACCACAACAACTACTCACTACTACCACCACTACCACCACCACCACTACCACCACTACCACCACCACTACCACTACTAACTACTACTAACTACCACTACTACTACTCACTACTACCACAACTACTACTAACTACCACAACTACTACCACAGCAACTACTACTACCACTACCACAGCTACCACCGCTACTACCACTACTACTACTAACTACCACTACTACTACTAACTACTACCACAACAACTACTACAAACTACCACCACTACCACAACTACCACCACTACCACCACCACTACTACTAACTACCACCACTACCACAACTACCACTACTACTACCACAACAACTGCTACTACCACCACTACCACCACCACTACTACTAACTACCACCACTACCACAACTACCACTACTACTACCACCACTACCACAACTACTACCACTACCACCACTACTACCACCACTACCACCATTACCACTACCACTACCACCACCACAACTACTACTAACTACCACAACTACTACCACAACAACTACTACTACCACTACCACAGATACCACCACCGCCACTACCACAACAACAACTACTACTAACTACCACCACTACCACCATTACTACCACAACAACTACAACTACCACCACTACTACCACAACTACTACTCACTACTACCACAGCTACCACCACCACCACTACCACCACAACAACTACTACTAACTACCACTACTACTACTAACTACCACAACTAGTACCACAACAACTACTTACCACCACCACCACTACCACCACAACTACCACAACTACTACCACAACTACTACTAACTACTGCAACTAGTACCACAACAACTACTACCACTACTACTACTAACTACCACAACTAGTACCACAACAACTACTTATCACCACCACAACTACCACCACAACTACCACAACTACTACTTACTACTACAACTAGTACCACAACAACTACTACCACCACCACTACCACCACTACTACCACAACTACCACAACTACTACTAACTACTACCACAACTACTACCACAACTACTAACTACCACATCTACTACCACAACAACTACTACTACCACTACTACCACCACTACCACCACAACAACTACTACTAACTACCACCACTGCCACAACAACTACTACTCACTACTACCACAACAACTACTACTACCACTACCACCACCACCACTACCACCACAACTACCACAACTACTACCACCACTACTACCACCACTACCACCACCACTACTACTAACTACCACCACTACCACAACTACCACTACTACTACCACAACAACTACTACTACCACCACTACCACCACAACTACTACTACTACTACCACCACTACCACCACAACAACTACTACCACCACCACCACCAACTCCGCAACATCACCACCACCATCACCACCACCATCACCACCACCACCCTCACCACCACCATCACCATCACCACCACCATCACCACCATCACCACCATCACCATCACCACCACCACCACCATCACCACCACCACCATCACCATCATCACCACCACCACCACCACCATCACCACCACCATCACCACCATCACCACCATCATCACCACCACCACCATCACCACCATCACCACCACCATCACCACCACCATCACCACCACCACCCTCACCACCACCATCACCATCACCACCACCATCACCACCATCACCACCATCACCATCACCACCACCACCACCACCCTCACCACCACCATCACCATCACCACCACCACCATCACCACCACCACCACCATCACCACCATCACCATCATCACCACCACCATCACCACCACCATCACCACCACCATCACCACCACCACCACCACCCTCACCACCACCATCACCACCACCATCACCACCACCATCACCACCACCATCACCACCACCATCACCACCACCACCACCACCATCACCACCACCATCATCACCACCAACACCACCACCATCACCACCACCATCACCACCATCATCACCATCACCACCATCACCACCACCATCACCACCATCACCACCATCACTACCACCATCACCACCATCACCACCATCACCACCACCACCAACATCACCACCACCACCACCATCACCACCAACATCACCATCACCACCATCACCACCACCACCAACATCACCACCACCATCACCACCAACATCACCATCACCACCAACATCACCACCATCACCACCACCACCATCAACCACCACCACCATCACCACCACCACCACCATCATCATCACCACCACCATCACCACCACCATCACCATCCCCCGCCCGCACATTGTCCACCAATTTCGGCTGCCACGTGCCTCTGTCCGCCCGACCTAGCAGCAAAACTTTGGAGGCCCTCGGCAAGGGTCAAGGGTCAAAGTCAACGAGCCTGCATTTACCCGACCTTTAACCTCGCCACAATACAATCACTCTACCCTTACCTTTTACCCTTTGGCAAAGGTCAAAGTCAAAGGTCAAAAGCGACGAGCCTACCTTTACCCTACCTTTTACCCTCACCCCGATACAAATTGGCCAATCGCAGGGTGATTTCTGATGTACCGCTGCACGTGAAGGTGGTTTTTGTAACAGGTGAACGCTAGGCAGAGCGCTTGTATTTGTTGCGGATCAATCACGATGATTCCAATTGTGAACGGAGGCCACGGGGCTGTGAGCGAGCCGTGAGCAGGGAATTTACCGTGTTACTCTTACACGCTTCCTGTACCCTACCGTGTTACTCTTACACGCTTCCTGTACCCTACCGTGTTACTCTTACACGCTTCCTGTACCGTGCCGTGTGATGCTTCCACGCTTCCTGTACCCTACCGGGTGATGCTCCCACGCTTCCTGTACCCTACCGGGTGATGCTTCCACGCTTCCTGTACCCTACCGTGTTACTCTTACACGCTTCCTGTACCCTACCGTGTTACTCTTACACGCTTCCTGTACCCTACCGTGTTACTCTTACACGCTTCCTGTACCCTACCGGGTGATGCTTCCACGCTTCCTGTACCCTACCGGGTGATGCTTCCACACTTCCTGTACCCTACCGTGTTACTCTTACACGCTTCCTCTACCCTACCGTGTTACTCTTACACGCTTCCTGTACCCTACCGTGTTACTCTTACACGCTTCCTGTACCCTACCGTGTTACTCTTACACGCTTCCTGTACCCTACCGTGTTACTCTTACACGCTTCCTGTACCCTACCGTGTTACTCTTCCACGCTTCCTGTACCCTACCGTGTTACTCTTACACGCTTCCTGTACCCTACCGTGTTACTCTTACACGCTTCCTGTACCCTACCGGGTGATGCTTCCACGCTTCCTGTACCCCACCGGGTGATGCTTCCACGCTTCCTGTACCCTACCGTGTTACTCTTACACGCTTCCTGTACCCTACCGTGTTACTCTTACACGCTTCCTGTACCTTACCGTGTTACTCTTACACGCTTCCTGTACCCTACCGTGTTACTCTTACACGCTTCCTGTACCCTACCGTGTTACTCTTACACGCTTCCTGTACCCTACCGGGTGATGCTTACACGCTTCCTGTACCCTACCGTGTTACTCTTACACGCTTCCTGTACCCTACCGTGTTACTCTTACACGCTTCCTGTACCCTACCGTGTTACTCTTACACGCTTCCTGTACCCTACCGTGTTACTCTTACACGCTTCCTGTACCCTACCGTGTTACTTCTTACACGCTTCCTGTACCCTAACGTGTGATGCTTACACGCTTCCTGTACCCTACCGTGTGACTGCTTACACGCTTCCTGTACCCTACCGTGTTATGCTTCCACGCTTCCTGTACCCTACCGGGTGATGCTTCCACGCTTCCTGTACCCTACCGTGTTACTCTTACACGCTTCCTGTACCCTACCGTGTTACTCTTACACGCTTCCTGTACCCTACCGTGTTACTCTTACACGCTTCCTGTACCCTACCGGGTGATGCTTCCACGCTTCCTGTACCCTACCGTGTTACTCTTACACGCTTCCTGTACCCTACCGTGTTACTCTTACACGCTTCCTGTACCCTACCGTGTTACTCTTACACGCTTCCTGTACCCTACCGTGTTACTCTTACACGCTTCCTGTACCCTACTGTGTTACTCTTACATGCTTCCTGTACCCTACCGTGTTACTCTTACACGCTTCCTGTACCCTACCGGGTGATGCTTCCACGCTTCCTGTACCCCACCGGGTGATGATTCCACGCTTCCTCTACCCTACCGGGTGATGCTTCCACGCTCCCTGTACCCTACCGTGTTACTCTTACACGCTTCCTGTACCCTACTGTGTTACTCTTACACGCTTCCTGTACCCTACCGTGTTACTCTTACACGCTTTCTGTACCCTACCGTGTTACTCTTACACGCTTCCTGTACCCTACCGTGTTACTCTTACACGCTTCCTGTACCCTACCGTGTTACTCTTACACGCTTCCTGTACCCTACCGGGTGATGCTTACACGCTTCCTGTACCCTAACGTGTTACTCTTACACGCTTCCTGTACCCTACCGTGTTACTTTTACACGCTTCCTGTACCCTACCGTGTTACCCTTTCACGCTTCCTGTACCCTACCGTGTTACTCTTACACGCTTCCTGTACCCTACCGGGTGATGCTTCCACGCTTCCTGTACCCTACCGGGTGATGCTTCCACGCTTCCTGTACCCTATCGTGTTACTCTTACACGCTTCCTGTACCCTACCGTGTGATGCTTACACGCTTCCTGTACCCTACCGAGTTACTCTTACACGCTTCCTGTACCCTACCGGGTGATGCTTCCACGCTTCCTGTACCCTAACGTGTTACTCTTACACGCTTCCTGTACCCTACCGTGTTATGCTTCCACGCTTCCTGTACCCTAACGTGTTACTCTTACACGCTTCCTGTACCCTAACGTGTTACTCTTACACGCTTCCTGTACCCTACCGTGTTACTCTTACACGCTTCCTGTACCCTACCGTGTTACTCTTACACGCTTCCTCTACCCTACCGTGTTACTCTTACACGCTTCCTGTACCCTAACGTGTTACTCTTACACGCTTCCTGTACCCTACCGGGTGATGCTTCCACGCTTCCTGTACCCTACCGTGTTACTCTTACACGCTTCCTCTACCCTACCGTGTTACTCTTACACGCTTCCTGTACCCTACCGTGTTACTCTTACACGCTTCCTGTACCCTACCGGGTGATGCTTCCACGCTTCCTGTACCCTATCGTGTTACTCTTACACGCTTCCTGTACCCTACCGTGTGATGCTTACACGCTTCCTGTACCCTACCGTGTTACTCTTACACGCTTCCTGTACCCTACCGGGTGATGCTTCCACGCTTCCTGTACCCTAACGTGTTACTCTTACACGCTTCCTGTACCCTACCGTGTTACTCTTACACGCTTCCTGTACCCTACCGGGTGATGCTTCCACGCTTCCTGTACCCTACCGGGTGATGCTTCCACGCTTCCTGTACCCTACCGGGTGATGCTTCCACGCTTCCTGTACCCTACCGTGTTACTCTTACACGCTTCCTGTACCCTAACGTGTTATTCTTACACGCTTCCTGTACCCTACCGTGTTACTCTTACACGCTTCCTGTACCCTACCGTGTTACTCTTACACGCTTCCTGTACCCTACCGTGTTACTCTTACACGCTTCCTGTACCCTACCGTGTTACTCTTACACGCTTCCTGTACCCTACCGTGTTACTCTTACACGCTTCCTGTACCCTACCGTGTTACTCTTATACGCTTCCTGTACCCTACCGGGTGATGCTTCCACGCTTCCTCTACCCTACTGTGTTACTCTTACACGCTTCCTGTACCCTACCGTGTTACTCTTACACGCTTCCTCTACCCTACCGTGTTACTCTTACACGCTTCCTGTACCCTAACGTGTTACTCTTACACGCTTCCTGTACCCTACCGTGTTACTCTTATACGCTTCCTGTACCCTACCGGGTGATGCTTCCACGCTTCCTCTACCCTACCGTGTTACTCTTACACGCTTCCTGTACCCTACCGTGTTACTCTTACACGCTTCCTCTACCCTACCGTGTTACTCTTACACGCTTCCTGTACCCTAACGTGTTACTCTTACACGCTTCCTGTACCCTACCGGGTGATGCTTCCACGCTTCCTGTACCCTACCGTGTTACTCTTACACGCTTCCTCTACCCTACCGTGTTACTCTTACACGCTTCCTGTACCCTACCGTGTTACTCTTACACGCTTCCTGTACCCTACCGGGTGATGCTTCCACGCTTCCTGTACCCTATCGTGTTACTCTTACACGCTTCCTGTACCCTACCGTGTGATGCTTACACGCTTCCTGTACCCTACCGAGTTACTCTTACACGCTTCCTGTACCCTACCGGGTGATGCTTCCACGCTTCCTGTACCCTAACGTGTTACTCTTACACGCTTCCTGTACCCTACCGTGTTATTCTTACACGCTTCCTGTACCCTAACGGGTGATGCTTCCACGCATCCTGTACCCTACCGGGTGATGCTTCCACGCTTCCTGTACCCTACCGGGTGATGCTTCCACGCTTCCTGTACCCTACCGTGTTACTCTTACACGCTTCCTGTACCCTAACGTGTTATTCTTACACGCTTCCTGTACCCTACCGTGTTACTCTTACACGCTTCCTGTACCCTACCGTGTTACTCTTACACGCTTCCTGTACCCTACCGTGTTACTCTTACACGCTTCCTGTACCCTACCGTGTTACTCTTACACGCTTCCTGTACCCTACCGTGTTACTCTTACACGCTTCCTGTACCCTACCGTGTTACTCTTATACGCTTCCTGTACCCTACCGGGTGATGCTTCCACGCTTCCTCTACCCTACCGTGTTACTCTTACACGCTTCCTGTACCCTACCGTGTTACTCTTACACGCTTCCTCTACCCTACCGTGTTACTCTTACACGCTTCCTGTACCCTAACGTGTTACTCTTACACGCTTCCTGTACCCTACCGTGTTACTCTTACACGCTTCCTGTACCCTACCGTGTTACTCTTACACGCTTACTTTACCCTACCGGGTGATGCTTCCACGCTTCCTGTACCCTACCGTGTTACTCTTACACGCTTCCTGTACCCTACCGTGTTACTCTTACACGCTTACTTTACCCTACCGGGTGATGCTTCCACGCTTCCTCTACCCTACCGTGTTACTCTTACACGCTTCCTGTACCCTAACGTGTTACTCTTACACGCTTCCTGTACCCTACCGTGTTACTCTTACACGCTTCCTGTACCCTACCGTGTTACTCTTACACGCTTACTTTACCCTACCGGGTGATGCTTCCACGCTTCCTGTACCCTACCGTGTTACTCTTACACGCTTACTTTACCCTAACGGGTGATGCTTCCACGCTTCCTCTACCCTACCGGGTGATGCTTCCATGCTTCCTGTACCCTACCGGGTGATGCTTCCACGCTTCCTCTACCCTACCGGGTGATGCTTCCACGCTTCCTCTACCCGACCCTTTACCTGACCCCTTGGCATGGCTGACAACTTTCCCCTTTTACCCGGTAAAAAGGGGAAATTACTTTACCTTGCTGAGGCCTAAACCTTTGTGTGTGTCTGTGTGTGTGTCTGTGTGTGTCTCTGTGTGTGTGTGTCTGTGTGTCTGTGTGTGTGTCTGTGTGTGTCTGTGTGTGTCTGTGTGTGTGTGTGTCTGTGCAGGTGAACTCTGGCTACAGCCTCTCGGGGCATTATGGAAACGTGCACGGTGGACAGATCACTCTGAACGTGCAGAGGGTGAGCTCACACGTACACACACGCACACACACGCACACACGTACACACACGCACACACGCACACACGCACACACACGCACACACGCACACACACACAGACACACAAAGACAAAGATCCCCCGTGTAGCCTTACCAGACTGTAGGGGCAAGTGCTGTTAGCGAGCACCTATGAAGGCCGCAACGGCACATGAGGGGGTGGGTGGCCAGCACCACGCCCGGCCGCCTTTGTCTCCCCCAGTGGAGATGTTCACTGCACACCGCTACACCAACACCACCGGTGGTGGCCACGAGCGGGGATTGAACTCGGGTCGCCGGGTTCGTAGCGCTGACCGCTACACTGCCACACTCACACACACACTCACACACGTGTACACACACTCACACACGTGTACACACACACGTGTACACACACACACACACGTGTACGCACACACACACACGTGTACGCACACACACGTGTACACACACACACACACGTGTACACACACACCTGTACGTGTACACACACGTAAGTGTGTGGCACAGTAGGGGGCACAGGTGGTGCATCAGCCAGTCATCTCAGTCAGTCGACCCATGGCACGTGACCTCCTGGTGCACCTAGCCTGGCACAGTAGGAGGCACAGGTGGTGCATCAGCCAGTCATCTCAGTCATCTCAGTCAGTCGACCCGTGGCACCTGCTGGGTCTGCCCCGTGACCTGGTGCACCTAGCCTGGCACAGTAGGGGGCACAGGTGGTGCATCAGCCAGTCATCTCAGTCAGTTGACCCGTGGCACGTGACCTCCTGGTGCACCTAGCCTGGCACAGTAGGGGGCACAGGTGGTGCATCAGCCAGTCGTCTCAGTCAGTTGACCCGTGGCACGTGACCTCCTGGTGCACCTAGCCTGGCACAGTAGGGGGCACAGGTGGTGCATCATCCAGTCATCTCAGTCATCTCAGTCAGTCGACCCGTGGCACCTGGGTCTGCCCCGTGACCTCCTGCCAGCGGGCGTTCGACACTTCACGTGGCCTCAGGGTGCACATAGCCTGGCACAAGCGTCGTGGTGACGTCACCGCCACTTAGTGGCGAATGGCGGTTGTTGTGTTGTTGTTGTATGTGTGTGTATACGTGTGTGTGTGTATGTGTGTGTACGTGTGTGTGTACGTGTGTGTGTATGTGTGTACATGTGTGTGTACGTGTTTGTATGTGTGTGTGTACGTGTGTACATGTGTGTATGTGTGTGTGTATGTGTGTGTGTGTACGTGTGTACATGTGTGTATGTGTGTGTGTACGTGTGTGTGTACGTGTGTGTATGTGTTTGTGTATGTGTGTGTGTGTACACGTGTGTACGTGTGTGTACGTGTGTGTGTAGTTTGAGATGATGAATGCCCAGCTAGAGGAGAACAAGGAGCTGGCTAACGTATACGTGTGTGTGTGTGTGTACGTGTGTGTACACGTGTGTGTGTGTGTGTACGTGTGTGTGTGTATGTGTGTGTGTGTACACGTGTGTGTGTACGTGTGTGTGTGTAGTTTGAGATGATGAATGCCCAGCTAGAGGAGAACAAGGAGCTTGCTAACGTATACGTGTGTGTGTACGTGTGTGTGTGTACGTGTACCGGCAAAACAACCCCCTACCTCCTCGCGGTGCCGGACGGGCAACTCTGTCGTGGACAGCGCTGTGGGGGGAGATCCAATTTTGATTGGCTCCTCCCCTCATGGCATATGTGTCCACCACAGGGGCTAAACGGGGGCTCTGGACGGGTGCGAGGGGCTGGTAACCCCTCCACCTTCAATTAATTACCACGAAACTACGAATTAAACTGAAATATGTAACAACTAAGCTTGTGCCGGAGGCCCCGGGGGGCCAGGCGTCTATGACGTCTCCTGGCCAAACCCCAATTGGCGGAGCCAGGAGATTGAATACCTACCCTCGGGGCTACTCCAGAAACAACGAAAAGCCACTACGGTTGGCCACGTGGAATGTTCGAACGCTCACTGCAGAGGAGAGGCTGCCACTCCTCTGTCGGGAGCTGGACCGGTACCGCCTGGATCTATGCGGCATTCAGGAGGTCCGGTGGACCGGCTCTGGCTCCTGCCACCATGAGGGGTGGACAGTCCTCTACTCGGGGCAGCAGACTGCCAAACAACAGGGTGTGGGTCTTCTTTTGAACAAAAGAATGAAGGGGGCGTGGGAGCGTGGCGGTGAGGTGTGGGAAGCTGTAAGCCCCAGGCTACTTTGGGCTCGCCTTCCCATCAACCGGAGGCGAGGAATGGTGGTCGTGGTTACTTATGCCCCCACCGAAGATGAACATCCGTGGAGGGATGCAGGCAAAGCCGATGAGTCAGATGCCTTCTATGACCTCCTGTCACAGGTGCTGGCTAAAGTGGCCCCTCGGGATAGAGTCATCATGTTGGGTGACTTCAATGCCCGAGTTGGTCATGATACTGGCACCTGGTCTGGAGTGATTGGAGGGCATGGGACAGATCAGCTCAATAACAACGGTAGGAGGCTGCTAGATTTTTGTGCAGCCCATGGGCTTGTAATTACCAACACGCTGTTCCGGCATCGGCGCATCCACACAACATCATGGATGCATGCCGGGTCCAAGCAAGAACATCTGCTGGACTACATAGTGACGGACCAGCGAATGCGAGCCCATGTCCTTGACACCAGGACCTACCGTGGAGCTGATCTGCCCTCTGACCATCGACTAGTCATCTGTAAGATGCGCCTGCCATTCTTCCACTCCGGTGGTGGGTGTACACCCAGGACCCCATTCCAACCTAAAGTGGCCTGGTCTCAGTTATCTGATGAAAGTTGCAAGCGAGAATTTCATCATCGCTTGCGGCTGGGATTGGCATCGTCCCCGACTCCTCCTGATGTCGAGGGTAAATGGGCGAGGTTTAGGACTGTGACTCATGCAGCTGCAATGGCTGCTTTGGGTACGCGGTCCAGACCTCCCCAGACACCCTGGATGACAGAGGAGTTGTTCAGGATCGTTGAGAAAAAGCGACAGGCCCACTGTCATCGGCTACAGAATCCCACGTCAGAGAATGAGGACGCTTACCGCAGCCTTCGCTCGGAGGTTCGGAGAGCCGTGAGGCGCTGCAAGGATGGGTGGTGGTCGCGGGTTGCTGAGGAGATGGAGTCTGCCTCAGTGGCCCGTGATCACAAATCTCTATTTAACTCCATCAAAAAAGTAACCTGCAGCGCCACACCTATTACCATCATTAGGGGAAAAAACGGTGATCCAATTTCCGACCCCCAGGAACAGGTTCGCAGATTTGCTGAGCATTTCTGTGAGGTCCTGGGGGAGGGAAAATCCCTCAGCCAGGAAAACATCGCGGCACAAAGTGAGGATGACCCTGCTGAGGCTGCGGTGCCTCAAATATTGGATGAAGTCACCCCCTGTGAGTGGCTGGCTGAGGTGCCATCTGTTGAGGAAGTACTGAAGGCGATCCAGAGTCTGAGACCAGGAAAGGCAGCGGGCAGAGATGATCTCCCAAGCGAAATGCTGAGGGAGGGTGGCGTTTGTGCACAGACTGCCCTATATGACATCATAACAACAGTCTGGACCACTGGACGGGTTCCGCAGGATTGGAAGGATGCCCTGGTGGTCCCCCTTTTTAAGAAGGGGGACCGCACAGACTGTAACAACTACAGGGGCATCTCACTCCTCAGTGTGCCGGGAAAGGTCCTGGCAAGGATTATTCAGCATCGCCTTGCCAGGCACGCTGAGGAGAGGCTTGCGGAGCCCCAATGCGGTTTCAGGAAAGGGCGGTCCTGCACAGATGCCATATTTTTCTGTCCGTCTGCTACAGCAGAGGTGTAGGGAATTCCAACAAGACCTACATCTCTGCTTTATTGACCTGGTCAAGGCCTATGATACCATCAGTAGGCCTGGGCTCTGGGTCGTTCTTCGTGCTTTTGGAGTACCTGACCCTCTGCTCACGATCATTAAGGACCTTCATGATGGTGAGCGGGCCCGGGTAAAACTACGTGGCCGGGAGTCAGAGCCATTCCCTGTACACCTTGGGGTGCGACAGGGATGTCCTTTGGCTCCCACATTATTTAACATCTATTTTGACCACGTAGTTCGTGAAGCCTTCAATAGCTGTACCGGGGGAATCTCCATATGGTACAGATATAATGGGAGGCTAATCGATGCCCGGGTGCGGTCAAGGGATGGCTCCCTATTGCTCAACCACGTTATGTATGCTGATGACTTGGTAATAGCTGCTCAGTCAGAGGAGGAGTTGGAGACGCTGCTGCTGAGACTGGAGCATGCCACTAAGAGGTGGGGCCTTACCATCAGCCCCACCAAAACTAAGCACCTGCCTGGGTATTTTGTACCATCGGACACTCCACCCCCACAACTCCCAATCGGTGATGGGGCAGTTGTGGAGAGAGTGGAGAGTTTCCCATACCTGGGCAGTGTGCTTATGACTGGCTCCAGTTTAACAGCAGAGGTCTCACTCCGAATCAGTCGAGCGGCAATATCTTTTCATCGGTTGCGTAACGCTGTGTGGAAGCTACCTGGTCTGTCGCTCCGCACTAAGCTTCAGGTCTTCTCGGCCACGGTCATTCCCTCCCTTCTCTATGCTTGCGAAACGTGGACCCCCCTAATGGAACATCTTCGCCGGTTAGAAACATTTAGGCTGGCCTGCCTACGATCCATCCTGGGTTTAACCAGACTGGATTGTGTGAGGAGCTCACAAATCCTTGAAAGATCTGGGCAGGGTCCCATCGGTGAGCTCCTCCGGCAGGCAAGGCTGCGATGGCTGGGTCATGTAGCCCGCATGCCCAGCCACCGCATGCCGAAACAGCTTTTGTTTGGCCGGATTGAGGGGGCTAAGCGGGCGCGGCACGGGCTAGAGAAGAGATGGAGTGATGTGGTACAGGAGGACGTGGAGCTGAGTGGACTTGCCGATGACTGGTACCAGCGGTGTCAAGATCGGCCTCTGTGGAGGAGGCTCGTGAAGGATGCTACTGGGCAGTTGGAGGCAGTCGCCCTCCAACAA